CACCCTCACAGGGAAAACTTCCTGAGAGGTAATATAATTTTCCCTCTTTCAGTTTCTCCGCATTGCTCCTTGTCCTGTCCCTGCAGTTCTAACCAAGAGTCCTTCTCCAGCTTCTCTGGAGCCCCTTCAGATCCTGGCAGGTTGCTCTGAGGTCTCCATGCTAAGTGTCTGTCTATCAATGTCTGTCTATCTGTCTTTATATATATAATTGAAAAAAGCCAAACCCCAACAACTATATTAAAGATCACTATTTTTCTTAGGATAGAATTTTGAGCTAGAAAAAGAAGTTTCCACTGTTACATATAACAATGGATATATCTGCTAGAAGTTGAAGGATGTATAAATAAACTTCCTAATCTTTGTTTCTGTACTAAAATCCCAAGTGCCACTGTACAAGCACTGGAGGCTTTCTGCCTGTCACTCTTGGGTAGTTTGCCTGTAAGCTCCTTGGCTGTGTTTTATCACATCTAATATCGTGGATTTAAAAAGACTGTTTCTGTCAGGAACCCAGACATGGAGAAAGGGAGTCCTCAATACCTCCTTCCTCCTGCTGTTTGTGTTCTTTGAGAGTTAATCTGGCAGTGACCATATTAGAAAACTTTCAAACAGATTTTAAAAACTAAGCCAAAAATTCAAAGTTCTGTGGCAAAACCTGCAAATGTTTAATCAGTATATAGGAGGGGTTTTGTCATTGTTTGTGTTGGTTTGTGCTTTCAGGTGGTGCAGGTTTATTTAGTGTTGTTTAAAGGTTTCTGGAAGTGTATCTGTCTCACCTTGGTCGGTAGTCACCTCTGTAAACTTTTATCAATTATTCAGCTTTTTGTGTAGGGCTAGGAAGAACAGAGCTGCTAGTAAGGGGACAACAAAGTCTTTCATGGTTCTGTCTCTTCTGCCTTTGAAGTCTGTGTAAAATATCATTTTCATTTGATTTGTCATGTGTGTGCTGCACAAGGCCTGAGCAGGCTGTCTCAAAGTTTCGTCAAGTTGACAGTGTGCTGCTTCTTTTGGGTTTTTTTTCCCCCAAAAAATGAATTGTCAACTGAATAGAGCTTTTAAAATAAATCATTAGTAATTTAGATGTGTTGAAAATGGCTTCTGGGTGAAAGCTTCTTCATATTTTGTAGCAGTTCTGCTGATTGCCTTAGAAAGCTCCTGGGGTTTTCTCTGACTAGCGAATGCTTTGTAAATGAAAGTTCTGTTTGAGGCTGCCAATGTTTCCTATCAGGTGATGAATGCAAACACTTGTGTGTCAGAGGACTCTGCTGTGCTGTTGGACAGTGACAGCACTGAGGGGAGATCTGTGGTGCTTCTCAACCTGCCCAGCATCCGAGACCACAGGGCACAGAGACATCCTTCTGCTGTAGAATTTATGCCTTCCATTTCTGGGGAGCTGGTTGTTACTGGAGTGACTGGAGATGGTTGAGAGAGCTAAGGGCTGAGCTAACTCTCACACTGTGGAGACAGGCCCTGCCCCGCTGTGGCCAGTGAGTGATGCTGCTGCTAAGCTTTGTTTCACTTTTTTTTTTTAATTAGTAGTGTGATAAACAACCATTTTTGTTTCTAGAGAAGAAACTGCAGCCTGTTGGGGTTTGGGAGCTAAGTGCTGGAGCAGGCAGCAGCTGCCCAGGACACTGCTAGCTAAAGGGGTTAATGGCTGTTCACTAAAAATAGTATTTGTTATCTTGGTAGATAACAGCTTGGGTTGAAAAAGATTGAATTAAAAATAGAAGGCTCTGTGGAAGTGTAACTAGTTGTCTGACAAGTCAAGTGGATGGATTTAAGAGAGTGGCTGCCCCCACCATGGCAGTGTTCAAGGCCAGGCTGGATGAGGCTTGGAGCAACCTGATCTAGTGAGGAGGTGTCCCTGCCCAGGGCAGAGGGTGGGACTAGATGATCTTGTAGGGTCCATTCCAACCCTTAAATTCTATGATTCTATGATTTTAATTTATGGACTGTTTTAATAAAGATTTCTTCCATTTTCTTTTCTTAGTCTATTAATAACTTTTTATTTTGGTGGATATTTCTGTCTATGCATCTGTGGTATGTGCTGAATAAGAATTAAGAGATAACTTTTTATTTTGGTGGATATTTCTATCTATGCATCTGTGGTGTGTGCTGAATAAGAATTAAGAAATAAGAAATGGATAAGAATAAGCCAATGTAGTCAAACTTCTTTCAGCGTGTGCTCTTCGTTTTAGTTTTCTACCTAAAATTATCATCTCTGTAGATAAATATCAGTAACTGTCATGGATATATGGAGTACTCATGTCTCTAGATACTGAAACATACTAGAAGTTCTTAACTGAACTGGCTTTTATACTTTGTAGAGTTTGAAGAAGCAAGAAAGTGGGTAGCAAACAATTTAGTGTTTGACAAGAATGTGGATGTGAACTTGTTTGAGAGCACTATCCGTATCCTGGGCGGCCTGCTGAGCACCTACCACCTCTCTGGAGACAGCCTGTTCCTGGAGAAAGCTGTGAGTGCCAGGCCTGACAGAGGAACTGCTGCATTATGTATTCCAATGTGGACAAAGCTGAGGGACGATTGCTCAGAAAGTTAAATGTTGCTGGTTTTTAACGGTTTCATTTCTAAAGTGGTGGGAAAGGGATTTACCATTAAGCTTTTAAGCCTGTGCCTCTGCTCTCTGGGTAACCTCTGAGCCTTGCTGTGTTTCTGTGGTGTTCTTATGTGCCTGCTCTTCTGCTGATGAATGGCTGACCAGGATAAAGTGCATGAAGCAAAAGAGGAAATAAATGACTGTCAGAGGGTAATAGTTGTCTTCTGTTGCCCTTTCTGTGTGTCTTAGCAGTACCAGCAACCTGTTCAGATCAGCTAGATGCAATCTGTGACTGCAGACTTGCACCATGTGGTGTAGGGATTGCAGCCTCAGATGAGGCTGCAGTGCTGGGGACAAGGTGGAGTCTCTGTGTTCAATACTATGAATAAATTCATGACCCTTTTTAATTCTTTAATTGCTTGCACCATCTAAAACTAAGCTGCTGTTCTATCTTTTCCTGGTGTAGAAAATCCAATGGTGTGTGTGTATATATATTTTTGTTTGTTTGTTTGTTGTTTTGCCCTGTGCTCATGGATTTGCTTCAGAAAGACATTGGGAACAGGCTCATGCCAGCATTCAAGACGCCCTCCAAGATCCCATATTCTGACGTCAACATCGGCAGGGGCACTGCACACCCCCCTCGCTGGACGTCCGACAGCAGCGTGGCAGAGGTGACCAGCATCCAGCTGGAGTTCAGGGAGCTCTCTCGGCTCACTGGGGATGACAAATTCCAGGTAGGGAAGAATCAATCAATGTGTCTCTTTTTCCACCTCTCCACAGGTCCAGCACTGCATCAGTACTCATGGTCTGTGGAGAGTCTAAGCTATGGTAACTTAGCTGTGAAAGTCTAGATGAGGGAAGGAAAAGAAACAAAACATTCTGATTGTTTTATTGAATAACAAAAAGTAGCAGTGGAGGTGAATGATTATTTTTCTCCCTCAGAAATGACTTTTAATTAAAAAATGTGAAATTCTGAGTGTGGTTTCTTGATGCCGTTTTGTAAACACAGAGAACAAAACTATGGTGCTGCCATCCAAGGAA